CCCCAATTAAAGACCCAAAATTCGAGTGGACCCCACCCGTCCCACAAAAAGTAAAGAGTGTTGGTCCCACATCCTAGCTAAGGCCTTCTCTCATTGTGGGTTGTTCGGTTCGGACACAAATCTTCAATTTTTCAACTTTTCAAAAAACATAAATCGAGGTATTCCGATTTAATTTTTGTCGAAACTTGTATAAAAATTGCATATTAGTTGTTTTACATGTGTTTTATGTTATTTTGTGTGTTTTTTGCAATTAAACTAGTATGGTATTTTTATCCAAACTTAGATATTAGTGTGCTAAAAAATGTAAAAATAGAGAAATCATTATTATTTGTTAAAAAAATGTAAATAAGTTTTTTTTTACTGTTGTATATGTATTTTCGTGAATGTTTTTGATTAAATGTATTTGTTATTTTTATCTGGTTTATATTATTTATTTGCTTAAAGACTATTAATATAGTGCCCTTTTAGGGTAGTAAAATGTATTGCCTTTTAGCGTAATAAAATATAGTGTCTTTTAGCGTAGTATCCCTGTAGTTTAAGTATCTCTTATACTCAAAAATACGTCAAAATAATTGATAGATCAAACACAAACTCTGTCAGATTATAGTCAATGATCGTAAGAAAATAACATGAGAAAATAATAATATTTTCCGGATATCTTGGTGCTACTGAGCTGCAAATATCGAGCCCGGAACCCATATATGAATATTTAAAAATTAAAAATTATATAATTATAAAAATTAATTATTTAATTTAAAACAAACATATAAAATAATAAAACTAACACATACAGGAATTCAGGATATCTTGGTGCTACTGAGCTTCAAATATCGAGCCTGGAACTCATATGTGAATATTTAATAATTAAATATTGTATAATTATAAAAATTAATTATTTAATTTACAAACAAACATATAAAATAATAAAACTAACACATACAAGAATTCAGGATATCTTGGTGCTACTGGGCCTCAAATATCGAGTCTGGAACCCATATGTGAATATTTAATAATTAAATATTGTATAAATATAAAAATTAATTATTTACTTTACAAACAAACATATAAAATTATAAAACTAACATGTAACTAATGTTGTTTAATTTACAATAGACAATATGGAGGTGCCGCCTATTCATCCCAGACCTTCCAGTGATGAGCTACTGCCATTACAGGGAGATCATAGGTCCGCCCACATATAGGAGGGAGAGTTGCTGGCCCAGACTCTCCGCGTCAGGAGAGTGGACGACACGTGGGACTTTCTGAAGGGCAAAGTTCTTTATCCCTGTGTAGTCAAACGCCTACGGGATACGGGTTTCTATAGGATTTTGGAGATCGGGCGACTGCAACTCGATTGGTCTTTGGTCACGGCCCTGATAGATTGGTGGCGACCAGAGACACACATATTTCACTTGCCCATTAGCGAGGCCACCATCACACTGCAGGATGTGGAGGTTATATATGGGTTGCCCGTTAATGTACACCTCGTTGCTCTGTCGCATGGCATGAGAGAGATGACAGGTGTGCAGTTGCTGGACATGTTGCAGCGGCTCACTGATTTTTCAGCCACAGGATGAGAATGTATTGGTTAGGACCAGTCGTTTTCCGTTGACGACTATTCGAGAGCATTTGGAGGCATTGCATCCTGACATCGATGGCGATACATTGGATTATCATGTTCATCGGTATTCGAGGTTGAACTGTCCACACTAGCTGAGGGTCTATCGGAAGCAGTTTCTTTACTTTTCCAGGATAGGGGTAACCCTGCGTATATCCTCCTTCTCAGATCCCACTTGTAAGATTACACTGAGTTGTTGTTGAACTGCTCATGCTACAAACTTGCTTATAGCTTTCAATCCAAATAGACAATATCAACTAGTTGAGATTAAAGTATATTTCTTGGAAACACTGAGGTGAAATATTGAGCGAAAAACACCAAAAATGTTATCATAATGGATGGAAATTAATGTGAAAAAAGTTCGTAGTGTAAGTTAATACTTAATACTCATAGACCAGTTTATTGTCCTTCTGCCAAAAGAGAGGAAGAGAGTAATCGTCCAGTATTAGGATGGATGGGATAGAGATAAAAAATAATTAATTTAAATAGTCGTCAATTCAATTGTTTAAAGTAAAATAGTCGGAAAATGTATTTTATATTTAGTATGTGTATAAGCATATATAATTAGTGTATAATTTATAAATTTGACTAAAAAAGTTAACCCGAATAGCTATCCACCTAATTTCTTAAACTAAAAATAGCCGGCGGATGTATAATGTATGTAAAATTCATGTATAATATGTATATAAATGTGTATAATAATCTATATAATCTATGTATATTGACTAGAAAAGTAAACCGTGAATCTTACCGATTATTTGTGTAACAATCACTTCCAATCGACTATATGTATATAATATCTCCAAACTTGTTACTATGTGACTTGGACTTTGGATATAGAAATGACCAAAACACCCCTACATAAGCACAATGAATGCCTCAATGGGTTGGGCTACGAAGATATTGGACCTTATATTTTTGTCATCGACCTTGAGAACCACTTTGAAATGTTTACACAAATAGCCGCCCTTTTCCTACTGTTATACATTGATATACACTCATCATATCTATTTAGCAAAATATTATACGTCCTCGTTCAAATAAAACTTACGGGTTACCTTATTTCGAATCCGAGCAAGCACTCGCTCGATAAAAAATGTGCTAGTTCGATTTCAGTCGAATTGCCTAAACCTCGAACCTATAATAATTTCATAAGGCATAAATAAAGCATAAGGCAGAAGTGAAATGAAATTTTACAAGGCAGAAAGAAAGATCTTCATATATGTCAAAAGTTATTTACAAGGGCAACATGGCCCGATCAGAATTCCATACAAGAAATTCAAAAAAGATCCTAAGTACTTAATCTCCTCTAGGAGAAATATCTTCACCCT